TGTAATTCCGCGAGCTCTGATCGGATGATCCAGCGTTGCTACGGTGGCACTCCGCACGTGATACGATGTCGTATCACGTGCGGAGTGCCACCGTAGTGGCATTCCCTCATCTCATCATAGCTCGTCGAATTTCGCAAGTCGGGTGCCGTTATGCATCGTCTGCAAGAAGCCACCCGCTGGTCGATAGCGATCCGAAGAGCGCCGTCAGCTGGATGGCCGTTGACGGCCTGACGTCAGCTAATACTATTTCGCGCGCAGCAAGACCGAGGTCGCGCGCCGGTTTCTGCACAAGGCTACCACGTTGGACGCACGCTTGCCTCCCGCGTGCGTCGCCGTGGGACACGCGTTCGCCCTCGACCTCGATGTTTCACTAAGCCGTGACGCGCCATCGTGCGCCGCACGCTCGCCATCCTCGTTGTCTGCGGTCTGCTCTACTCCAGCGTCCTTTCCCCCCGCGCGCACCATGCAACACCCCCCCGCCCCCACAACCTCACCGCCGCCCTATCCCCTACCGGCCACCACCCGGCCACGATCCCCCCACGCGCGTGGTCACCCGCCGTCCAAACACCGTCCTTGTCGCCATCACGCACGGCGGCGTCGGCAACCAGCTCTACTTCCTTCTCGAGGCCCTCGTTCTCGCGAGCCACGCCCACCTCGACCTCCTCCTCCCCTCCCCTCCCCTCCCTCCCCAGCCGAGAGTTTAGCAAAATTACCACGGAGCGCACCCTCGAGGAACACGGCGTCAAGTACCGGCACCTCAGTCGCATGCAGCCCGCCGTCGCCCCGCATGCTCGCATCCTGTCCCACTTGCCGCATGTGTGTGCCGGCAGCTTCGACTACGTCTACATCTTCACGCGCGCGAAGAAGCCCGACAAAGTCCCCCCCGCTAAGGTGTCGTCCAGGACGAAGCAGGTGCTGCAGTTCTTGTTGTGCTCGCACGACGACGTCACCCCGAAAAACCAGGACGAGTGCGCCAAACGCGCGTTTGCAAACGCCGCAGTGGAGAGGCGCTACATGCAGCTGTCGCACCCCCTAGATATGAGATTGGTCAATGAGCCCGTCACGCTTCGCGACCGGCAGACGCTGCCGGCTGCGGGAAGAGACATGCCGCGTCCGGCGTGCGTGCTGGTCGACGGACACACGTTTCCGCACGGGGGGCGCGTCGGGCATGAATACGCGAAGGTGGGACTGCAGGTGAAGCTGCTCGGAATCGGTGGGGATATGATGTCGTTCAACACGAACGAGTTGCCAGAGAAGATGCTGCTGGTCAGCGGGGGAATCGGCATCACGCCCAACATGGCCATCCTGCGAGGCATTGGTGCGCACTCAGATGGTGCGAGAAATGTTGCGCCGGATATGGTGATGGTTCACCAAGAACGGTGTGAGGATGACATGCCGTTCAAGGACGAACTGCACCGGCACGCGAGAGTATCGAAGGGAAGGACAAAGCTGATCAAGTTGATTTCGGGCAAAGAGGTTGCGGGTGAGAAGGAGGGCGGGGGCGATGAATCAGAGAGGATTGAGAAGTATTCAGGACGTGTCGAAAAGGATTTCTTGGGCGAGCACGTCGCGGACGTTGCGTCGCGAGTTGTTTATCTTTGCGGTCCGGTAGGTTTTATGGAAAGTGTCAAGTCGATGCTGTCGTCGGTGAACGTGCCCGCGGACGAGGTTATCACAGAGGAATTCAATTTCTGAAGGGGCGTTGGCCTTGTTTTCCTTGCAGATTAGCTCTCTCTGCATCTAAAAACATTGGACAGCATCAGCAGACAAGAGGGAAGTTTGTAACATAGAGGAACGGATATGCGCAAGGTTGGTAAATTTAATATATATATATATAGCTGTATGTAATGTAGGTGAGTTGTAGAAATTTCGTGAAAGCGGTATGTGGATGTGATTATATACCACAAATCGCAGGCGCTTCCGTCAAGAGGTATTAAATATCATTTGGACGCCAGAGAACGGTGATAGAGGAGTGTCGGTTGCGCCTTGGAGTTGGACCTTTTCTCAATTTGATCACTAGTTTAGTGTCGGTTGCACGTCCGAGTTGGACGTTTTCTCAATTTGATCATTCCACTAGTACAAACTGGGTTTGGATTGAATGTATACTGCGATTACAGTCTCTCTGACGATTGGAGAGTGAGATTGGAGAGTGAGATTGGAGAGTGAGATTGGAGAGTGAGATTGGAGAGTGAGATTGGAGAGTGAGAGAAAGTGGATTGAAGCGGTAGTGTCGGCGTTGTTAAAAATGAGGAAAACCAGTGCAGCGCGCACCAAATTGTGAATACGATTGCCTCGTGAGATGAGGCAAACCTCTCACACCATATCTTTCATTTCGTGTCCTTGAATTAGTCATAGCCCTCCATAAATTTATACAATTTTCCAAACTTTTTCCGCGCTCCCCTCGTGGCACATGGTATGATCGCCATCATCAAACAAATTTAATTTGATCATGACGATCATACTGTACGATGTGTATCAAGTTTTGATACTTCACCTCTGTCCACGCCTCCTCCCGGTATCTGCTCCCCCTCCGTACCCCCCCCCCCCCTGTTGCCGTATGACCTGGACACATGTCCTCATTACACTGTCGGACGCGTACACTATGTCCTCTGGTCTTCTCCACAAAGTGTAGAACCTTGGTGGCGGGTGCCTGGCACGTGCCAAAGGTTTACAGCGTCCATGGAGTGCAGCACGGCTACAGCCGGACACAAAGATATCGTTGCGCGAGTTTTGAATTCGTA